GGGCGGCAATTTTGGGCTTTGGTAAGTCTGGGAATTAATTCGGGTTCCGAAAGCCAATTTTGGGCTTGGGAAGCAAATTTTGGGCTTGGGAGCCAGTTTCGGGCTTGGGGGGGGGGGGGGGGGGGGGGGGGGCAATTTTGGGCTTTGGGAGCCAGTGTTGGGCTTTGGGAGCCAATTTTCGGCTTAATTTTGGGAGCCAATTTTGGGCTTTGGGAAGCCAGTTTTGGGCTTTGGGCATTGGAAGCGACTTTGGGCTTTGGAAGCCACTTTTAGGCTTTGCGGGCCAATTTTTGGCTTTGGGACGCCAATTTTGGGCTTTATTTTGGGCTTTGGGAAGCTAATTTTGGGCGAAGCCAATTTTCTAGGAGGGCCTTAGACCCCTCTGTTGATCGGAGTACCTGTTTAAATGGGGGGGGGGGGGCACCCACCGCAATAAGACAGGCAGGGCGCCGCAATAATAAGACCATGGCAATGTATTGATTCTCTATTTAAAACAATAGGAATGTTCTGAAAACAGTGGCCCAGGGCCTCCCACAATTGTGGTCCCTTTTTATAAATGTGATGCTGTCTTTACCGGGCAGAGCCCAAAAGGGGTAGCTCAGGAAAGAATGAAAAGTTCTCTCCTCAAGTAAGCAATCACATAAGAATTCGTAGCTTTCTGAACGGCCTCGGCTTCTAGAAAACTAAAGCTTCGGCTTCTTTAAAGCCTTTACTCTTAAGATGTGTAGCTTCACCGAAGCAAAACTGCAGCTCACAAAGAAAAAACACGAAAGCCGACAGATTTTTTACCCCTCCCGCCGAGAAAAAAACCTTTAAATGTGGTGGGGTCTCCCCATACCAAAACCCCCCCCCCCTAATGGAAAGTAGTCTTCCGGCGGGCTTCTCGACGAAAAAAAAACTTTAGATGTGGGGGGCATTACTCAAAACAGGTGCTCGGATTATTGGTGATGCAGAGCCCTTCTGGAAAACCATATGCTGACATCCTCAATCGTCCCGGAAGTCCCAGAAGACCCTGCTGCCTCGTCCTGCGCCCTGCAAAACAAGGCCTGCAACATCCTAGTACCCTCAAGACCTGCAGCCTCAAACAGGAGTCCACCCCTTCAATATACCCCAATTTTGTGTAATCCTGATGATAGGAACCCTTAGAAGGAGTAACCGAATTTCGTAACCCCCAAATCTCATGCCTGCCAACCTGAGAATCGGGCTTGTTTGCATAGCTCAGAGCGCGCTTTCGTGCTTTTGAGCTGGGCGCCATCATGAGCTGGAGACCCTGGAATGGGTTTAGGGTTTCTATAGGGTTTAGCGTTTATGGTTTGGGGGTTTGGGTTTAGGGGGCATGTAAGATTTGCCTAGCCTAAGGCTGAAGTAAGCTGTAGGGTCAAATCTAGCTGTGTGTTGCTACCGGAGGCATGCTCCATCATTTCGCGATGCAACCCAGACTGACCCCTTCCTTCGGCGTTGCCCTGTTTGGTTTCTTAGTTCGCCTCGGCTTCCTGCCGAGTTCCCCCGAATTTTGTGATGACCGCCCCCCCCCCCCCCCCCCCCCCCCCCCCTCAGCCCTGTGAGAGCGGCTGCAAACTGATAGGTCTCAAAATGCCCTCCCCCCCTCCCCCGCCCACCCCCCCCCCCGCCCCCAGAAGCTGAAAGAGAAGCCTCCGCCAACAAAAGGAGCTGGAAAGAGAAACCGCGCTGTTGTTGCTGCCGTTGGCTTCTTGCTTCACCCCCCCGCCCACCCCCCCACCCCCACCCCCGCCACCCCCCCCCACCCCCCCCCCCAACCTTTGCCTTCCCCCCTTTTTCTGCCGATTAGCGTATTTTGTGCCTGCTCCTCCCCAACCAACCCTCGGGGATGGGACCTTCGTAGAGGGCACTTCCAGGCGTCATCTCCACATACTGCATGCTCTGCGCCGGCCCGGCTGCCGAGGCGGCGCACGCAAGTGTTTAGAATTACTATTGTTGTGCTGAAACCTGAAGCCTCTCTTGGGGAAAAGGATCGGGACTTAAGCGGAACGAGCCCTTGGAGCGAGTCTTCGAACAGTTCGGGAGTATCTGAATTAAGTTGTACCTCGGACAAGATTGCCTACAGGCGTGTCATGCATATCGCACGATGCCCAACTATGAGGTCGTCCAGCGAAGATCCTGTCACTACACTTCCTCTCGCCCAACCCCAGCCCAAGTAAACCTTAACGCCTGGACCTGGACATCTTTGCGCTCGCCAAACCCTTACACAAGTCTCTAGCAGCCCCCTTCGCGTGTGCGCCAAACAGTGAGGGTGCCTGCCAGAAGGGAACAACATCGTAGTCGGCTTTCCTGCACTCAGCATGGGCTGAAAGATGCAGGGATCTGCTTGGTGTGCCAAGTGTTCTTCTTGTCTCGGCTTTCTCACAACAAAGTGCTCTAAGCATGTGCCACCATGCTTGGGTTTTGCTGTTTACCACAATTGCACATGGACTTCCTCTACACATGTCGAAGTACTAGCTTCACCCTAATGATATTTATTTTTTTAGTTTTTATAGTATCAATACTAACTCCCCCCTTCTTTTTTTAATATCTGTGACTTACCCCCCCCCCCCCCCCCCCCCCCCCCTCCCCGGGCTGACGTTAGGAGGTTCTTTTGGGCCTCTTGGGGGGCAACCAGTGCCAAAACAAACACCTCATCTCAAGCATCTTTCAGCGGAATTAGGGGGGGGTTTAGGATTTCAGGTGAAAGCCCGGGGTCCTGAGACGATCAAGCTTTAGGGTTGGGTTTAGGGTTTAGGGTTTAGGGTTTAGGGTTTAGGGTTTAGGGTTTAGGGTTTAGGGTTTAGGGTTTAGGGTTTAGGGTTTAGGGTTTAGGGTTTAGGGTTTAGGGTTTAGGGTTTAGGGTTCAGCCCATTTTGATCCAAACCCTAGAACTCTGGACCTCTGGATCTTCAGTCTGCAGCGTCAGGCAGAAAGCTGCGCAAGTTGCAGCCGAGCTTCATGTGCGGATTGGTTTGAAGAATTGGTGTGAAGTACCTGACGAGGACCCTCTTGAGTGGAGCAGAAATAGGCGACGAACAAACAACTGAACAACCTATGTGTGTCTACACTTCTGTTTGCTCATGGTGAGAGGCTCCTCCGGTGATTCTGCGCTGTTCCTGCTGCCTGTCTGCATCTTGGAGTGTTATCAGACGTTAGCAGGATCCTGGGCCGGACGCTCTTACTCTCACGCTCACTCATAGAGGACGCCCGGAACAGTGGCTGTAAAATGCTTGCCTGCGTGGGTGGCTAATATGTTTCTGCAGCCCAAAGGGCCAAGCATGACCGCAGGATAAGGTGAATGTGACAACCCCTAAACCCTAAACCCTAAACCCTAAACCCTAAGCCCCCTTCGCTTACAGCATACCTTGCGCCCATGTAGGGTTGCGAGGATCAAGTCTGCAGCTTGCCATAACCAGGGCAGCGACTTGAGAAACGAACCGGGCGCTGGACATGTACGACAGGAAGAATAAAAGTAGTACAAATAGCCAGTATATACATATATTATATATTTTCTACTATATATGATATTATATATATATGTATATATATATATATATATATATACATATATATATATATATATATTATATGTATATACGTCAAGTGCGCCCTAGCTGGCGTTCACAGCATGCTGAAAAGCCGTGAAAAAGCAGCCGAAGCCCTGGGCAGCACCACTGGGTCAAACAGCTAAGCCAACATCAGGGAGTCTCTGCCCCCTGACTGCAACCCGTCCCATGTTTTATTAGCACATAGACCACACACAAACAATCTCTTGCGGTTCAACATGCTTACTAGCAGATCATACTTGCGCTTTTGAATGCCGCATACAAGGCACCGCCGGCGTTCATAAACAAATCGCTTCTTGGAATCATCTTGGGCAACCATCGTTTCCAAAACACCTTCGGGATCACTGAGACTTATTTGGCTCCGCAGACGTCCAACACAGTTCCTTTCTGCTAGGATTCAGGCAGCTACAAGTACAGCACCGATCGTGCGGTTAGGTATGATGCGCAGCATGTCTTTTTGAATGACCACTACATACAACTGGAAACAAGCACAACAAGCTAGATAGGTGATTGGCCTGTTGCTTCTGTATCGTTAGCATTTGCAAACGTTGCATTCAAGCACTCCTTACATGTCAATTGCATAATATACACATACGTACAGAGCCAAGAACAACAACCGAAGTGCTTACATAGTGTGTTCTTACATAAAACCTGTCAATCATGTTCGTGCCCTGGATTTATACGACTGAGCTTGTCCATTGCAAGGGAGTTCGAATTCCCTGAGTTTGAACACTTCATGCTTCAGAATTCCTCTGGTACTCAACCACTCCTGTAGGCCTTTGAGACCTTTACAGCCAAGACTTCTGTACACAAACAAACGAACAAACATGCAAGTACATACATGATACATATGATACATATGTAATGTCTGCTTCAGACAGACAGGCACGCTAGTTCAAACCATCCTCATGGCGCATCTTCCCCGATTTCCCTGAAGCTTTCCTAACGTTTCAACTTTGCTTTGTCACGCCCATTCTGCTCTGCCTTGCGACCCATTGCCACCACCTCCACCAACCCCGTTCTGCTCCACCATCGCTGCCACCAGAAACACTCTGGCGCAAAACGCCCGTCGTTTTGTATATCGGAGGAGGATTGCACTGTTCGCCACCATTTCGACCATGCATGCTGGATTCCCAGAAGCCCAAAATATAATGCCTACGCCTTAACTGCACCGAAGCTGCACACCGAAACATCCCATTTGAACTCACCAAACCCGAAACTCTCTTCAGGCGCACAGGTTGGAGGACAGCGTCAGAATCCTTCCCAGGCATGGTTTCAGTGCACTGAGACTGCGTAAGGTTGGGGACACGTTCAGAGATTTCAGGGATTGGGGCTTCCAGGAAAACAACCGGGTTTGAAGTCAAGACTGGTGGGGGGGGGGGGACAAGTCTGCAGAGTGTCGGGCTCTGAAGCTTCTCTCAAACATTCTCAAACTCTGAATGTGGAGCCAAGACGCTGCGCACCCCAATTCCTGAAATCCAAGCTGCTGACCCGTGACCTAACAGAAGCCCCAAAGCGTGTTAAATAAACCCTAAACCCTAAACCCTAAACCCGAAACCCGAAACCCTGAACCCTAAACCCTAAAGCACCTTAAGGCTGAACGTTCGCTTAATTTCCCGGACCTAGGCTGGCTCAGTGATGTGGAGAGGTCGGAGCAGCCTCGTCACAGCGAGCTGCGCCGTGGCTTCGGGTGACTCTGGTTTCGGGTTTAGGGTTTAGGGCTAGGGTTTAGGGTTTAGGGTTTCGGGTTTCGGGATCTAGGCTTACAACCCTGTGCACCTTTTCTAGTGCAGGCCACTGGCCCGGGCAGCCAACTTTCCGGGACTTCAGAGCCGGTTTCGGGTCTAGGGTTTAGGGTTTAGGGTCTAGGGTTTAGGGTTTAGGGTTTAGGGTTTAGGGTTTGGGGTTTGGGGTTTGGGGTTTGGGGTTTGGGGTTTGGGGTTTGGGGTTTGGGGTTTGGGGTTTGGGGTTTGGGGTTTGGGGTTTGGGGGTTGGGGTTGGGGTTTGGGGTTTGGGGTTTGGGGTTTGGGGTTTGGGGTTGGGGGTTTGGGGTTGGGGTTTGGGGTTTGGGGTTTGGGGTTTGGGGTTTGGGGTTTGGGGTTTGGGGTTTGGGGTTTGGGGTTTGGGGTTTGGGGTTTGGGGTTTTGGGTTTTGGGTTTGGGGTTTGGGTTGAGGGGTTCGGGTTTAGGGGTTTGGGGTTTAGGCTTTAGGTTGAACGATCGGACTGAAAGCTTCAGCTTCCAATGTGGTCGAAGCCTCCAAACCCCACACCCTCACAACAGGGACAAGACCAAGGTCATCCTAGACTGGCACCTTCAGTGCAGCTGCACAGGGCCTATTCCGGTTCAAAACTGATCAAACGTGCTGGGACTTGATCGTGGCACCGGCACACATGCATGCGTTTTAATGTGGCCCCTGATTTCCCGATCTGCGCGGCGCCGCCATGCTTATGCTTGAGCTATGCTGAGCTTGTCTGAGCAGTGCAGAGTTGACTTGCAAATTCCATTTCATCTTCCTGTATGCCGGGACGGGCGATTATACCCCATAACCCCCCAAAAAGGGCCCTTTATAGGGTTGATTGTGGGGATTAGAGGGCCCAATAGCCTATCCTGGCAAGTCCACTTGTTGCAAGTTGTCTTCGAAACGGCCACGTGAACGCTTGAAACTTTGAGTTAGAAGCACCGAGGTCGCAAGGTGCCCCTAAACCCTAAACCCTAAACCCTAAACCCTAAACCCTAAACCCTAAACCCTAAACCCTAAACCCTAAACCCTAAACCCTAAACCCTAACCCTAAACCCTAAACCCTAAACCCTAAACTAGCGGTCCATGTCTCAGGCGGATGCCCAGCAACTCCAGCATGCTGGCCTCGCACAGGTACTGATTAGCAAGCGCTTGGTGATATGAAGCAGGGTTTATATTTCTTATATCCCCAAAAGGACACCAAGTATACACACTCACCAATTTTAAAAGGAACCTTATATACACTCACCAAAAACAGTAATATATACCCTGTTTCATATATCCAACCTTAATCCACTGACCCTCCTGGAGGCGGTGGGGCAACCTAACAAAGCTAGGAATGCTGTGTAGATGCTTTTGGCCAATAAAGTACGGTGTAGATACTAGTCTGATATGTTAAGGGCTTCTGGGATAGAGCTTGAGTCTCGGACAGAGTCTCCAGGAATGCTCTGTCTTCAATCCGGAGTTCGAGGCTTTGAGTAGTAAGAGCTCAGGTCATCCTCCACTATAAATTAACCGCACCTCTTGACTCGTTGGTTGGACGATGTTGACAAACACTGAATGTTGGGGTATGTTTGTGTGCTTTGTGGCTTTGTGTTGATGGATTCTATTTTGTGTGTGTGTGTTTCACGGGACGCAGACAGGGACCTGATGTGGAGTACCAAGACACGCCTGGAAAAGCCCCACACTGTACAGCTACAATGTTGACCCCTGAACACTCAAGTCACAAGCCGAAACAAACACATCTTGTACAATGACTAAGGGCCGCAGAACCGCGAGAGAAACTCAGGCACTCACCAGCATTCCACTGTCCATCATGTGGAAGATGTACAAGCTCTTAACCTTACAAGTACTTGCCGCAACGTTTGGAATTGGAGAATACGCAGCAGATCGACATTACATGTAGGTGCATACCTCATATATCTATTCCTCCGCTGCCCTCGCCCACACGCAAGGTCCGGCTGAAACTCAACTCACAACGAAGGGGAGCGGCTGCCTGACTGACACATGGAGTGAGTTTCTTTATTACGAGCATCCCCCAAAGTCTCGAGGAGCCCTACATATGCGCACAAAAACAGCTACTTCATGTGTGACATCAAGCCGGTGCACAGCAGGAATGGAGAAGGCAGCCCAGTGTGAATGCCCAAAACTTTCTAGATCCTGTTCCAACTCCTTCAGGACGACAGCCCAACACATACGCAGGGGATGGCAATGCACTACGTGCAAGAAGGGCAGGGGGGGGGATTAAGAGGGGACTTGGAGAAGACTTTCCGACCCGGAAACAAAACCTCTGAGTGGCCGCCAGCAATGCTTTGATTCTGAATTCTGAAGGGTCAATTTTGTGACATTGCACTGGTTGCAATGACTCCCTTAGCAGAAGCTCCTTGCCCTGGCATCAAGGTCGGTGAGGAGCCCTGAGTCCGTGGCATCCGAACTCCGCAACTCCTCCGGTGCTTCACCCAGAAGCTTGACGCCTGACTCGAGCACGTTCTGCTGTGAGGTTTCCTGACCCTAAACCCTAAACCCTAAACCGTAAACCCTAAACCCTAAACCCTACACCCTTGACCCTAAACCCTGACCCTAAGCCCTAAACCCTGATGCCCCCTCCCCCTCCGCCTGGAAGGTCCAGCAGATCCCAGGCGTGGCGCGAGACCATGTTGGTGTTCCAGTGGACTGGCACATCCGGGGGCATCGTGAGACAGGGTCTGTTCACCAGATAAGTGAGTCCGATTACGCAGCACTCTCGCCACCTGTACTTTGCACCCATGGAGCCTTGAAGCCTGGCTTGTGTCTTGGTCAACCAAACCCCAAGTCCACTTGCCTGCTGTACTGCCCCCAAACAACTGACATTCAACGCAGTGTGTGCAACAGTCAATGGACAAGTTCCACGACTACACAGGAGAGCACATGCACCACACGTCTTCGGAGAAAGCCATATTGCCGCTTGTGAAGCCCACCCCAACCCCACCCCCGCATTGAGGTGGCTGCTCAAGAGCGTCCGCCCGGTAATGCGAGCCAAGTTGAGGGCAGAGACCATAACGACTGCCTCAAAGTCAATAGGCTGGCGGCTGATGCTGCATGAAAAAGGGGTAAGATAGAAGGATGAAGACCAGGTAAGACGGAAGGGAGAGAGCAGGTGCTTACAAGGCTTAAGAAGCCTCTGTCGCCTGTGGACTGTTTTCTTGGACAACCTCTTGCTGAGGGCTTCGTTCGTTGGGCTGGTCTTGCTTGGGGGGAGGGGGGATGTGGGAGACGAAGCAGCCAAATCAAAGCCCTGCGGTGCTTCTCTACGTGCACCAGACGATATGCACTGCAGCGACACGTAGGCCTAATATCCTACCCTTCAATGCAAAGATTCTCTGAGCCAAATTCTGAGAAGCCCAAGCCATCCGAACCCAGTGAAACGCTGTTCTGTAAGACAACAGCTGCAAGTAACAGACTCAGGCGAGACATTCCGGTATTTATCAAAGCCCCATCCATGAAACCTAGAACCTAAATAAGACCCTCTCTATCAAGAGCTGAGGCCAGGGCTACATTGCCAAGGCCCACCTGAGGATTGTAGCCTCAATTCGAATGCAGGTGCGCAGCTCTTGAACAAAGGTCTTGAGTTGATAAGTTGCGTGACTTGGAGCAGTGGAGAGCTTGAGGATGGGCGTAGACTCAGAACTCGAAGGGCGCAAGAACCGGACCCAGAACCCTCAGGTTAAACGCGCCAATTACATCACCCCCCCCCCCCCCCCCCCCCCCCCCCCCCCCCCCCCCCCCCCCCCCCCCCCCCCAACGCAAGAATGAAACCAATTCCGGAACTCGATTCGATTTTGCCCTCAGTCAAAAAAAACATGTAAAACCAGCCCCCCTCTCACCAACAAACCTCCAAGTCAAGACTCTTCAAGACAACAGCCCCTTTGCACCCGAAAACCTCCTCCAATTCTGTCCCCAGGCCTCCCTGACCCTTCCCCACGACGAATTCCGCGGGTGCCGGGGAGGGGGTGGTATTGCTAGTAGGCTAGGAGGCTAGCATTGTGGTGCCTGTTTTCTGCTTGCTAGAAACTTACGCTTTGGTTGCAGCGCCACCTGCACTGAACTGATCTCCCTGCTCCCCCCAAGCCCGAGACAGATGAGGTACTTCGCGCGGGCCGCCGGAGGTGCAACTCAGAAAGGGCAGGACAGGCTCTTGCAGCTGATGTTTAGGTTGGTTGGGCTTCTGGCAGGGTCTCCAAAAGCCCGAAACTTCCCAAAACCTCGGTGAAGGGAGCTGTGACTGTAGAGCCTGATGCTCTTCACTTGCCGCTCCACATTGCCTTATGTGGTTCACGGCAGGCTTGAGAGATCCAGGAAACTCTACACACCCGAAACTTCCAGACGCCCTAGAGGGACCACTGCCCCGGACACTGAAGTCCAAGCCTCTTTGGGTTTAGGGTTTAGGGTTTTTTTAGCCATGGACATCTGGCGGCAGGATTGAAGTTCGTACGGTCTGAAATTTTCATCACACCACTAATGGACCATGGATGTTCAGAAGGACTGAGAAGGAAAAATGTCCCACTGTGTGTGGGTGAGCCTGTCGAGAGAAGGGTGTGTTTGCCACTTCTGAGCTGAAAGTCCCAGCCCTTGAATTGATCAAACCACTGGAAAGGCCATGCCCCTACGTGCCCTCTACGAAGACAACATTATTGAAGGGGAGGCGGGCATGGCGGACTGATTATTCCAGGGGGGTTAGGTGTTGTGATGGGTGTTATAACGGTGCACCTCCCGGTCGCACGGCGAAACTCGCGAAGCCTGGCAGCAGCTCATCGCTGGCCTCTTCGGCATTCGAGGTTAGGGAGCCAATGCAGCCAAACCGAAAAGCACCGCTCTGCTGAACTGCCAAACGCTTGTGACAAGGGCGCGGAGGAGATATCGCAGAACACACAGAGTAGCTCCCAAGACCATACCCTCTATATTCGACTCTGCCCATCCATTCCTAGGCCGTGCCCGGCCAGCGCGATCTCGCTGTTGATCCGCAATGCCTGCGGGCCCGGCTCGTGCTCGTCTGGGCAGCATGGGTTTTGCCACTGAGCTCTTGAGCTTGCCCTTTTGTGGGTTTTTTTTGGGGTTTTTGGGCTTTTCAAAGCTGCTGATGTGGCACTTAGGATTTGCCAAGGCCCCACTGGGCTTTAGCTCAGGATTCGTGGTTTCCAGCTCTTCATGGCGGCTTGGCAGGCCAACCCTGCTCGACGTCGAACTTTGAACCTCTGCCTTCCTGCCGTATACCCAGCAGACCCCTAAACCCTAAACCCCTAAACCCCTAAACCCCTAAAACCCTAAAACCCTAAAACCCAAAAACCCAAAAACCCAAAAACCCAAAAACCCAAAAACCCAAAAACCCAAAAACCCAAAAACCCAAAACCCTAAAACCCTAAAACCCCAAAACCCTAAAACCCTAAAACCCTAAAACCCTAAAACCCTAAACCCTAAACCCTAAACCCTGAACTAATCTCTACAAACCCCGGAGAGCCCCAGAAACCCGGCCTCCCCCATGGTGGCTCTAGCCCCCTCGAGCTCATTCAGGCGGTACAGCAGAGCCTCAAAAACCAACCCTAAACCCTAAACCCTAAACCCTAAACCTTAACCCTTAACCCTTAACCCTAAACCAAGGACCGCAGTCCTGAACTGAAGAAAGTGCCCCTGACTTCACCTCCATGGCTCATGAAACCTATAGTGGGGCCGTATTGGAGTCACCTTTCTCCTCCCGCGGAATGAAGGTTCCACGGAACGATGCTGACAGAAAGTGAACAAGGCACTTCCGAAATAGGACTCTGGGTTTGGGAATTTGTGCTGTTTGCAAGGGGGTTGAGGGGTACGGGCTTGGACGCAGGTTCGAGACTTTCTAGACTCAGTTTCCATGATGTTGAGGTGCTGAAGGTTCAAGGCTGAGTTTTCGGGTGCGGGAGTTTCTGTGATTAGGGTTCCAAGATTTCCATGAATTTCTTCACATGAGATATCCAAGTTTCGGGTGTCGCTCTGTGCTGGGAAAATCATTCCAGTCGCACAGGATTGCGGTCCCAAGGTTCAAGGGGATTCTATCCCATGCATGGTTCCGTGTCCTGTCTTGGGGTCCGCCTCTCGAGCCCGCCCCCTCAACTCCCTCATCACACCCCAACAAAACACCTTGAAGCCACTAAACCTCAAGACCCAAAACATTCACGGTAACACCCCCCAAAAAACAATGCCTGTATCTGAGGGAAAGGCGGCTTGGAGAAACATCTCCCACCCCTCCGGCACACGGTCGGGTGGGAAAGCCACCTCAATGCATCTTTCATCTGCTCTCGCCCAAAACGGGGATGATTTCTGCCCGCTGCAGCCCGGGATATTTGAGTCCAGGAACTAGCACCCAAACAAGGTTTAGGAGCGTGGATGATCCACTACCGGAGGGCTAGAGATGTAGCTAAAGCTCTCCTGCCTTTTTGTGACGGCCCGGAACAAGGTGCCGTGAGAGTTTTTGTGGCTGGCACATCTGCATGTTCTGGTTGGTCCTACGTCCCTGGGTAGTTTTGCGCAAAAACCATGCAAGCCAAACCATGAACACAAAACACGATTCATCGCTTGTCGATCACCCTCTCCCAATGCCCGAAAAAGCCCTAAACCCTAAACCCTAAACAGATACTCCAAAGCATGCATGGCTCTATGAATCCTACGCAACACTGCACCCGTCCCAAACCCCAAGCATTCTCAAGGAATCGCGCCTTGAGCGATTGCCAGTTCCACCTCTCCTGGCTTCGGGCTTAGCACACAAGAGCAGCTGGGACTAGTTAGGGCTGCGTTGTGTGGAATTGTGGTGGGGGAGGGAGAAGAGGGGGTGGTGCAGTTGGAGGTTTCTATGCTATGGCTTGGGTTGCCCCGAGTCTGTGTGTCTGTGCGCATGTGAAACATCGCTGCACGCGGTTCCCTGTAGTTACCAGTATGACATTTGAATCGCGACAGCAGCGGAGCGCGGCAGATGTGCGGGACCGGTCTGGTATGCACTCAGGGACGCCTGCCTGACTGCGTACCTGCACTGGCTAGGCCCTGCTTGCAGTCCCACAGAGGACAGGACCCTGTCTTCGTTTGACATGTAGTTGGCATGGCACCTCGCCTTCGCGCGCAATCGCATCTTTGCCATATTTGGAGGGTGGAGCCAAGACCCATGATGACGAAGACGATGGTTTTCTGGCACGTTTCACATCTGCCAGATGGGCCTGGACTCAAGCCTACGACGACCAACAACAGAGGACTGCATGACCCATATCTTCGTAACCGTGCCGAAGAAAGAAACCTCATGCTCACTACCTGGCACTGGGGACAACAGGCTATCCCCGAATGAAAACAACAAAGAATTGTACGTGTACATATATGGGGGTTTACGAAGATAGGGGGTCCCCAATATAGATCCCCAAGTAGTAGGATTGCATAAGGACCCCAATAAGGTACCCCAAATTTCGGAAACCCCATGTCTCTCTGGTTCGTGTCATGCACGCCTGCAAGCTCCATTCAACATGGACCTTGAGATCAAGCTTGATTGAACCCGACACGTTGACGCATCCTTCCCGTCGAACTCTATGGCCGGCGAAGGAGCAGGCCTCTACTGCTGTGCACAGTTGGAACTGGCACAGCTTGGGGTATGAGGGGGGGCCGGGTGCTATGCAGGCTTGCATGTAACCATCAACCCTAACCCAA